GCCGTGGAAACGCGGCCACCGGTCCCGAGCGCGCAGGGCGGGTCTCCCGCCCCCCACCCCGCAGGCACGACTCTGGGGCCCTGGACCAGTGGGTGAACCTGACGTCGGGTTTAGGAGCTGGGGGACGAAAGGAAGAGGGAAAATGCAATCGGTCCGATGTTTCCCCAACAGCGAGAGGAGAGAGTCCTGTCGAATGCTGCCCTTTGGATGTCCCAAGGTGCCGAGGGGTGGCGTTAATAAGAGAAAAGGGGGGACGGGGGAAAGAGCCCCGAGTTACTACCAGTATAAGGGAGCTCGCAGCCACTGTGACCCGGACCCACATCTTTTAAGGCCCCTCGGGGGCAGTAGCTGCTTGCAGCTCGGTTGAATTGACTCATTAGTGGACACTCAAGCATTCCGTCCGCGGGGAGTTGGGGCGGGATGGGAGGATGGGTGACAGGACATAAAATACAGACAGGCTCCATTTGAGGGCCCAGCACGGGAGGGCAGAGCCGCGCGATTCTGTCTTCGCAGGTTGGAAAACCTTCGTGTTTCTGGCCTCCCGTGTCCCAGCCTCCTATGTCCAGTTCCCTATTTACAGCCCTCTGCGCCGCCCATACTCGTCCCTTCCTCTATCCTGGTTGATTCGAGGGACAAACTGCACAAAACCAGTTGGCTTAAAACAATAATGCCTCCTAGGTGCTCTCAAATCTCAAGGTCAAAGTGGGGTTATCCTACTCTAGGCCAGGCTGGGCTCTTTCATGCATCTGCAGAGAGCTGGCAGGAGGTGGGGGGTGGCATCATCCAGGGTTATCCTACTCTAGGCCAGGCTGGGCTGATCTTGGCTGGGCTGACCTTAGCTGGGCTCTTTCATGCATCCGCAGAGAGCTGGCAGGAGGTGGGGGGTGGCATCATCTGGCAGGCATGACTCTCTTCAGCCAGCAGGTTGGCCAAGGGTTTGTTCTCATGGTGGCTGAGAAGGGTCCCAAGGGACAAGGACTCTCGAGGCCGAGGCTGGGAGGTGGAACGCATCACCTCGGCTACATTGTTGGCCAGAGCAAGTCATGACGCTCCAAATTCAAGTGGTGGCGAAAGACACGCCAGTCCCTGGCGGAGGGAGCTGCGGAGAGGCAGACACCCTGGAAAGGGCTGGGATGCAGAGGGGGTAGCGAATGGGGTCCACCTTTGCGGCTGCCGGCAGTGACAAGTGTGCCTCCACCCACCCAGTAGCCCAGCGACCCGTGAGTCGTCCTTGACTCAGCTGCTCTCACTTCACAAGGATTCATTTCCACGTTCCATCGTTTCTTGGTGTCTCCTCCCCACCCCCATGGCTCTCTTCACTTCTCAATTGAAGCACCCTGAATAATCCTGAATAGATGGCGACTAGTTTACGCGTTCCTCCCTCGGGGAAGCGTCCTCTGACCACCGCTGCCAGCCACACCCCTATCTCCCAGTTATTCTCAGGGCACCCTTGGCAGGCACTCGACTGTCACTACTTTCCGGTGGGATGTTTATTTCACTTGTCACCAGGAGGGCAGGGACTCTAGCTTGTGTCCTTAGTAGACAGCCCATAGTGGTACATAGGACTTACGAGGTCCCGATTAAATGTTCACTGCCTTTGTGAATGAACGAACGAGTGAATGATGATGTCTTCGCTGTGTGAACTGGAAAAGACAGAAATCATGTGTGTAACCACTACCCTTTTTCCTTGTTTCTGAGAACAACCTGCTCTCAGGAGCCAGTGTCCCAGGAAATGTCCAGAGATGAACTGCCAAGTATCAGCTACACGGACTGTTGGCCGGTCACAGGGCCAGCCCCTCCCGTTAAAATTCAGCTGAACTGGAAACACACGAAAGCAGGGCACCTCCTTCCCTGACTGGGGAAAAGCCACCATCACGAGTTAATAGTCACAGAACCGCAAAACTATTAGGTTCCGGGGTCCTTGAGCAGTTCAGTGACAGAGGTCTGGGTTGTTGTCTCTCGGATTCTCTTGGCCTGTCCTTCCTGCACACAAAATGGCACCTGCCTCACCAAACATCAAGTCCTCATTCAGGCAGGAGGGGAGGGAGGGGCTCTCTTCCTTCGTCTCTTTTTATTAGGAAATAATTCACAGAAGATCCCAGCAGACTTTCTCTTCCATCTCACTGGCCAAGACTGAGAAGCGGATAGTTTATGGAAGCATCTAATGAAGACGATGACATTAGCATAGCTGGCTTGAACAACACAGCTCCTCCGCAGGGGCTAGACGCATTGCTACTCTGTTAAAAATCAAGAAATAGGAAAGGGTGTCTCTGCTCCGCACCCACGCAGTTGGAGATGGCACGTGCCACAGACACCCTTCACTGTCCTGGGGTTTAAGTGCAGAACTTTCAAGGGAAAAGAGAGCCTTTCTTGGCTGAATCTTGCATTTATATTCCTCCTTTGCTTAGAGCTCAAAAAGTTATTCCATTCTCCTTGGAGATCTCTTTGCATTTGCAAATACACAAGATAACCCATGACTTTTTAATGCAGGCAACATATTACTTAACTGCGGAATTATAAATAGCCTCGCGTAAATTGTTGCTGCTCGTGTTCTATTTCATTTGGATCTCTTTGTGTCGTTATGTAAAACTGGTGCAACTAACATAAGAGGCATGCGGAAGTCCTTTTAGAAAAATAGAAATGCTTTTTAAAAAGATAATAGAAATGTGTGGGCACAGATACGGATACACAAATCCGTGGGTGTTATTCTTGAGTGCGAAAGACAGGATTTGGAAATGTGCACACATCACCAGGCTTGGGAAGTTATTAACCCTTCGCCAGCCAGATAAACTTGATTTTAGCCTTGAGGTAAACTCTGCCAAGCGTACTCTAGTTCAAGAAGGTCCTTCTCGCCACCCCATCAGCCATTATCGGTTACCTTTCCTGTATACCCCAACTCCTTGAATATTGCCGTTATGGACACTCGAGACTCCACCGTTCAGGACTTTCCCTAGAATAGATTATATGCTTCTGTCCTCTACCTGCTCCTTTTATTTCAATTCAAAATTATTTAAAATCTACTCTCCGCAAGGCTGTTAAGTGCTGGTATGTTACACAAAGAACAGACAGAAAAGTCTAAAACACGCCCGTCTTCGCAGACATCCCGTAAATTATCATTTATAAACTATTGTTCTTTACAACAAAGCAGGCGGAACTGCTTATTTCCCATCAGCAATGAATCTGAATCTCTCTTCTCTCGGGAGCAAAACATCCAGTCACATCTTCACTTCAGCTACTAACCTCACCTCATTTCCTAGAGACAGTAAAGAGTACCCCGCTGCGTTTTCTCCCAATCTAAGTAATTTCCACAAATTCCCATCTCGCTAGGGAGATGCACGAGAGCATTTTCTGTGCCTTTTCCACTGAGGGCTTTGAGATGGCCTGTCAACGGCTCTTCACCAGGCACCTCTGCTATTTAAAAAAAATCCCACCACAGGACGTTGGCTGCTTGTCCAGTGCTCGGCACATCTCCCATAGGCAGTAACGGCTGCAGCCGCTGCCTATCATTATTTATAACCAAGCAACTTGTCTATTGATTTTTTGCATAAAAAATATCGGCTTTCTTCTTCCCTTTAAATGGGGCTGGGATAAAGAAATGATGCTGTAAACACTCATATTCCAAATAAAATTGTTTTATTTCTCGTGTTTAAAAGATAAACATACCTTGTATTTTAGCAATTGTTTACATTTTAGTATTTTTTTTCCATCCTAGTAGAGAAAATGCTACTCTAGTGGGCCCACAGAGATATGAAATTGTGTTGTTTTTCTTGCCACAGCAAAGAACAACTTCAAAAAGAGTGTGATATGTTCAATCTTTGGGGTTGGGTTCAACTGAAAAACAAAAACAAACAAGAAAAACAAACAAAAAAAATAGGCCTTTTAAAACATACCTGGATGAGAAATAATTCAAGGAGCATGCGACCTTGTTTATGGTCACATATGGCTCAAGAAAGCGGTGAATACTTTTCTCATCAAGTTTAAGGAAGACTGTATAGGGATTATTTTACAAATTCACAATCTGTGACAGTCACTCATTTAAAAAGACCTGCATTTTAAGGCAGGTGCATTTCACCTGCACGCTTTCAGAATTCAGGGATTTCCATTGTATTCATCTCTAACAAAGGCTTCTACGCTAGTCTAATATTGGCAGAACATGCAGATGGAGCTGACCAGGAAAGAGCTGTAAATAGACTACAGGTTTTCGAGAAAGTCGGCTCTGAAATCTGAGTCCACACCTTAAGAGATGGCTGAAGCATAAACCCATGGTTCTCAAACTTGAACATGCACCTCAGTCACCCAGAGAGCTTTAACTGCTGGGCCCTGCCCCCCATCATCTCAGTTCTGGGCTATGTCTACATTTGTACCGTTTCTAGATGTGGGTGCTGCCAGCTGGGGAACCACTGGCTTCCATCACCCAGAACTTCTAGAATGACAGACGTGGAACATGGAAGAACAGCCTGAGTAGAACTGGGTAAAGTATGATGGCAGGAGCCTCACAGAAATGGTTGTCAAACACAGAGGGAGATACAGTGAAATTGCAAACATCTCAATTGGCGTTTGGTGAACTTTTTAGTTTCATTGGTGGTGGAGGCAGAAACAAAATTTACAGTGGAAGACTAGGAAATGCAGCTATGAAAGGAGGAAAAGCTGCTCATTTGTTTTCATGTCTGTAGCTGAAACACTCAGTGGAAAGGTCAAGGATGAGACTAGGAATAATCAGTGAAAAAACAGGGCAGAAACAAGAGCCTCGTCAGCACCGTCCTCTCCCTCAGCCGCCCCACACTTGATGCCTTAGCTTCACGATGGGGCCTGGGACCTTACTGCTTTTCCTAGACTATAGTCTTGATGATCGTTTGCCTCCTTCAACCCTCTCCTGCCCCCCAGTAGGTAACACTATTCCCTAACGTCTATTGATACAAATCGATCAACTCAAATTCCTCCCACACGCATCCGGCAGTGCTAAGTATTATGATAAGAAAAAGAACGTGGAGTGCGCTTCATTCTTACAGAAGGCTAGGCTGCGGCCTTGGGAAAATTTGAGGAGACCGAAAGGGGACAAACCATGAGGATCCTCCCAAGTTATGTTTAAAGAAGAAATTAAAAAATGTTGACTGAAGGGATAGGAATAGAAAAAAATGGCTGAGATAGTTGGGAAACAATTTAAAAATACGCAAAGTGAGGAACACTCATGTAAGATGACTCGGTCTGGTACAAGCAGGAACACCAACTGACACAGCAGGGTTTCCTTGTTGATTCCTGTGGTGGCAGTAAATTCTGTTGACCAATACGATCGTGCTTAAAGCTCAACTCACCACCAGATGTCAACCTTTAAGGACAGTTAACGAGTTATGTTCGGCATTCAGCGAGATTCAAAGCCAGGTTTGCTGGGTTTGAAAACAGACCCGTAACTTCACTGGATAAAACCAAAGGCCACTAGCCCTGGGCTTTTACCGACAGTACCAAATGAAGTTATGAAAAATAGTTTCTCATCCTAGAGTCTATTAGTGTTAAGAGAACGTAAGTCAAGATGCTATGGCTATAGCTATCACAGAAAACTGGCGGCAGGTAGGATGGGATGTGACAACTCCCTTGTGACTACGTTGAAGATTTTTGCCACATTAAAGTAAAAATACCCAGGAAGCAACTGAATAACTTACATGTGCTCACTGTACAAAGTAGCTGTACAATGTCCCCACTAACGTGAGGCGACACGACACTAGGGACTGAGACCCGACGATGGAGCCACACTCCTGGGGCCTGGGTCTCTGCGCACGTGTCACCTTGGGCAAGTTAACTGTGCCTCGGCCTCCTTTACGTAAACGGGTAAAGCACCGCTTACTCCAAGATTTTTGAGTAAAGTGCTTAGAATGCCATACATCATGTTAATGGCTACATATAAATGTCCAACCCCAGCTGAAATAAAAATAGTATTTTAGTTCCAAATGATCACAAACACTATTATTTTCTGAGTCGTGTTCCATGAAAGGTGGAAACAAATGTTAACTCACAAAGAACAAGGGACTTTAAACTATTTTAAAGTAGCAGGCTTCAAAGGCAAGTTCCCAATCCTTAAAATACAGCTATTTACGATGCAGTTATGAGTGATCCACACACTCTGACCTTAACTGTAATGCAACAGATGTAGTTTCCTAACCAATGGACCATACTCTGTTGCACAGTAAACCACCTGTCTTTCAGAAAGAAAACAAACCACTAAATCTGAATAGCAATGACATCACCCAGTGAATCAGGACAGTTGGTTTTCTTTAAACGTTTCTTTGGAGGAAGGGACACATACTCAATTAGAGGTCTTTTATTTTTTTGAAAATCTATCATGCCATGAATTCATAGGGAATGGGCTCCAGCAGCTCAGGTTCCTTTCCATTTGTTCTCACAAAGTGAGCTTCTCTGGGTGGAGCAGGCTGTTAAAAGAAAAAGACGAGGGAATAATTATGTCAAGTCCCGTAACTCAGTTTCAAAGTGCTCTCAGAACCCATGAAATAACGTGTATTCAAGTCTTTAACTTCACTTTCATAGAAAATTATCACCGAGCAGCAGTTTTCAAGTTCCAAGATCAACCGAGATACCCTTCGTCAAGCACTCACCTGGCGCTTCAGCTGAACCCAGGTACCTTTCTCTTTGGCTTCCTTCTTTTTTTGATCATTTTCCTTCACACGTTTCAGGAAGCTGTCTCGGCTCTTTGAGTGCTTAATATGCTCAATACGTACATTAATTCTCTTGGCAAGAATCTTGCCCCTGGAGAAAAGAGAAATGCCTATAAATCCCTCATAAGAAATATAACCAAAATTCAAAACTCTCGGCAATTTCATTTCTTAAACCAGGAACCTTTTACCTGCAGACAGGATAAGGTGTCAGACCCCAAAATGCAAAATAATTTAACAGGAACCAGAAAGCTAATAAAACTGACAACTTTAATTAAACTTATCCTCTGAAAACTGTAACTGATACCAAATCCCGTAAGACTTTCCAGTAAGTCTATTTCAATTTGTTTCCTCTGACAGGATACAAGACAAACACCCAGTTTGCTTGAGTTTTAAAAGGCTATTTCCTTTGCCCCACTTGAATGACCAATAGAGACATAAGTCCAATTGGCAAAGTGAAAAGGGGGTGCGAGGGAATCCTAATTAGCCACAAAGAACGAATGATGAGGTTACTTACTTAACTTGTTTGTTTACAACAATGCCGACTGCATGCTGCGTAACGTTGTAGACTCTTCCAGTTTTGCCGTGGTAGCATTTGTGGGGCATGCCTTTCTGAACAGTGCCCATTCCCTGTTAGGAAAGGATGTTAAGTGTTAAGACAGTAAGTTCTCTTTTTTATTAAAGTAACTAAGACACTCTTAAGATTCTTCTCTTTTATATGGCAACTCAAGAGCTTTCAGAGCCGGTGAAATGCATTTTTCACGTTGCTTTCAGCAATCAAAAAGACAATCATCATTAAGCTCTAGAGTGCCAGGACACATTTCAATATCGGTCATCGACAGTTTTCACTGGTTTTTCCTTTTTATTAGTCACCTCCACTGATGATTAAGTTTTGCACTAAGGTATTCATTTCACCTCAACAAACTCATAATTTCTCCACTGGCCGTTAAACTGGTTTCCAAAGTAAAACTAAATTTTAGCTGTTTCTTACGAACTCTTACTCAGGGAATGGATTTTTCCCATTTAGGATAAAATGCAGCCAACAAGTACCATCCATGCACACTACTACTTGAACTCCAAAATCAGATTAAATCCAACTTTTCTCATTTCTAATGTTATTTCCCCAATTGTGTAACTTACTTTGATGTCTACAATGTCTCCTTTCTTGTAGATTCGCATGTATGTGGCCAAAGGAACAACTCCTTAAAAAACAATAACAATAGTATCAAGATTAAAACGTGAAGAGTCAAAGAAATCTGTAACTCTACTAGCTTTGGACACACGTTTGAATTATGCACTTTTTAAAAACCTTGCTAGTTGACAATTTAAGCACTATATAAAATTTGTTCTTTTTATTACAAAATTAGGGTAAATGCTAAATAATTAATGCCATTACTAATACATTACACAAATTGCAACACAAATGTATTACTAATACACAAACGAATGCCACGCTTGCTCTCAAAAAGGTTAAATCTACTTACCATGTTTTCTAAAAGGCCTAGAGAACATATAGCGGGTGCCACTCCTCTATCCCTTTGTGTTGGTCATTTTGGCAAATTACTGGAAGATGGTGACTCTGGCCAAAAAGAAAGCTTTAACTTCATTTAAAAAAAATTTTTTATTATGGTGACATTGGTTAACGAAATACAGTAAGTTTCAGGTGTACAACTTAACAGTAAGGCGTATATATTTATTGCCTTGCGTTGGAGATGTTTCAAATGTTGATATTAGGATGATAAATTCTTGGATTGTGGATTTATTGGTTTATTGTGCTTGATGGGGGGGTATTAGAAAGCATTAACAAAACTCAGCATTGCATTTTTATATGGATTAAACCCCTAACAATTTTTTGAGTCTTATACAGAATTTATTAGCCGTCAAAAATCTCTACCTCTATTTATATTTGATTGTTTACAAAAACAGGTTTTAAAATCACTGACCCAATTTTTCTTTAGTCAAAAGGAAAGTTTATTAGAAAAGGGGTAACACTCCACAGAGGCTGGTATCCTCTCAGAGGCAGAATGAGAGGGACCATCACTGACCTAATTTTGACATAAGTTCTGCCATTTACTTGCTGAAAGACCTACATTTATTCCTTGATACTCACCTGTGAAATGGGTTAATACTTTTATAATAAACTGAGGTAATGTCCACAAAGCACGCGGTAATTCCTAGCACATGCAAACTGCTAATTTATCACTAAGAATTCACCTAAAGACATTTGGAATAGAACCTTTCACTTTGTTTCCCAAAAGATCAAAATAATGGTTTCAACTGCTTTGTGTCATCTAAGGACAGAACTACCTCTCGTTGTTGGCAATTACTCCTACCACAAGGCAAAATACACTGAAGTCAGGGTTAACTTGACAGTGTTCTAATGTAAATCGGTCTCTTTATTAACACTCCTTAAAGTGACCCCACCAAAGTACCTTTTTCATATAATTTGTGTGGCAAGGAGACACAAGAATGTGTCACCTAACCCACCAAAGCCAAACCACTGTCATAAGGAATGCGTCCTTTACTTTTAAAAGGCATCTAAGATCTATTAAGTAGAAGGTACCGTTTTAATCCTCAGAATCTCTATTAATTTTAAATAAACTTGTATAAGTTCATAAACAAGGAGATCCGAGTCACTTGGTCAGAAAGAGGCAAAATCAGTAACGAGTCATTTCTGAATCCAGAGCCCATGCTCTTTGCACTGGGCCCATCTTCCCAACTTAGGAATCATTTCATCTTCCCAACTTAGGAATCATTTCATAATAAAGAAGAATGAATATTTAAAAGTAAGTATCACCGACAGATTCCTACTTCCAAAAATGAGACCCATTTATGGGGTACAATCTTCGGTTTGCTCAACTCTGGGAGCTGGCGGCTACTAGCTACAAACTAGGCAAAAAGACGAAAAACGAGGATTAACTGGTTGTTCAATAACTTCTCCCTTAAATGTGTAAACCAGACACAAAGCTATTCGGGAATCCACGCACTCAGGTTGCACTATCGTTAACAAAACAAGACCTGGGGCGAGCTGATGGTATTTTCCCGCTGTCCAACTGCGATCCGGGGCCAAAATTAAAGACAACCGGATGTCGTGTCACGCACCCTCCACGAACGGCCCGGGGTTCGTCATCCGGTCCACAGAGCGGGCTACTCCGTTTTTCGACCACGAACGCAGACTTTCACGCGCAACGAGGCCCCGCCGGGGATGAAAGTTGAAGCTCGGTTTTAAAACCGTTCCCATGACCTCCAGGTCGCAAACCGGGATCGGGAGTCAAAACGCCACCACGGAAGGACTTCGAAAGGGCCTCGAGCCACGCGCGGCCCCGTACAGCCCGTCCGAGAGGCACACGGATGGATGGGGGAGCACAGGCCGCGGGGACACAATCACCCCGAACTCTCGGGGACAATCACCCCGAACTCCCTTCCCGAGCGACCTGAGTTCACTATGGTGATTCGACGTCGCTCTTCTCGAGCCTGGGCCCGGCCCGCAGCCACGGCCCAGCGCACGCCGCTCCCGGTCGGGACGGGCATAGGTCCAACGCCCCGGCCGGTGGGACTCAGACCGTCTACACCGTGTCTCGCTCGGGCCCCAAGGCACTAGCTCAGCGGCCACAGGGTGGGAAACACGGGTTTGCGGATCGACGGGCGGCCGGCAGCCACGCGCGGCACCTACCTGGAAGATGGCGATTCCGGCCGAAAAGGAGGAGGCGGAGCCGCGGCGCCCGCCTTACAAGGGCCTGCGGGCTGCCCGAGGCAGTGCCTGAGCAAAAACCGAACTAAAATCGTCTCTCCCGGGGTTAGGGACGCGTCCTCGAAACAAGGAGAGACTCTCAAAATATTTTCCTTCCTTATGAAAAATAGGCGATGTACCAACAGACGCTGATACTTGGATCTTGACAGGCAGCCCGGAAAGGGGCTTTCAAGGGCGTCAACAGGACGCCGTCAGTTCGAGCGTGCCGACGTCCGCCCCTGCGTCAGGGGTTACGCCGGAAGTGGGCGTGTTTGCGTCTTCGCGCAGCTGTGAGAGGTTGGTGCTATGCCGTGTAGGTGTTTGACACGGTATTTACTGCTGGTTGGCTGGTTGTAGAAATGACCGCATGGGCACAAAATTCAAACTGTAGTTAAGGCAAGAACATTATCCAGTTTATATGTCTTCTCAAAAGTTTTTTTTCCCCAAACGCGTCAGAGCATACTAAACACCTACTGGTAGGTGTGTAAATGTTGCGACCACTTTGGAAGGCAGTTGAGCAAGAAGTAGTGAAACTGAAAATGTTTAAATACTAAATCCCAGCATTCCTTCCAAGGTATAGATCGCATTGAAACTTTGATATGTAGACAGTGATGTATATAACAGCAATATGACTAGAGAAGCAAAAAATTGGTAACATCAGTAAGAATAAATACACTATAGGATATCCATGTGATGGAATGGTATCAACCACTAAGTTAAGACTGAACCCAGAAATGAGACGAGGCAAAAGAGGATGGTGTAGAATGTACGTAGTATCACAATTTATATGCATACAATTTTAAAATAATACTGTGTATTGCTTAGGTACAAATGTATATGTCATGAAAGTCAAGAGATACAAGAAGGTAAAAATCAAATTTAGAAAAGTGGTCACGTCTGGTAGAAGGGGAGCTGTAAAAGGTATAAGGAAGGCTTTAACCTGATATTTAAAAGCTGGATAACGACTATACAGAGGATTCTGTTGTTTGTTATTCTTTGTAATATGTATTATCTTAGTAGAGTTTTTCTAGAGTAGTTTTAAATTTATTAAAAAATTGAAAAAGTAGGACTTCTTATACCTGGCTCCTTACTTTTGCTATTATTAACATCTTAACATTATTTGTAAGAATTAATGAACCAGTGTCATACATTATTGCTAACTAAAGTTCATTGTTTATTCAGATTTCCTTAACTTTTATAATATCCTTTTTCTGTTCCAGGATTCTATCCAGGATACCACATTCCAGGTAGTTATCACGTCTCCTTACGCTGTGGCATTTCCTCAGATTTTCCATGTTTTTGATGACCTTGACAATTTTGATGACTACTGGTCAGGTATTTTGTAGGATGCCTCAATAAGGGAATTTATATGATTTTTTCTCATAACTGTATGTATTACCATTTTTAACATTTATTTTTCAATTACAGTTGACATATGTTAGTTTCAGGTGTGCAACATAGTGATTAGACATTTATATAACTTAGGAAACGATAACCCTGATAAATCTAGTACCGTCTGACACCGTGCATACTTATTACAATATTATTGACAGTATTTCCTGTGCTGTACTTTACATCCCCGTGACTCTTTTTATAACTGGCAATCTGAGCTTCTTACTCCCCTCACCTTTCCACCCATCCACCCCAATCTCCCTCCCATCTGGCAACCATCAGTTTGCTCTCTGTATCTTTGAGTTTGCTTCTGCTTTGTTTGTTCATTTATTTTGCTTTCGAGATTCCAAATATAAGTGAAATCATATAATATTTGCCTTTCTTTGTCTGACTTATTTCACTTAACATAATACCCTCTAGTTCCAGCCGTGTTGTTGCAAATGGCAAGATTTCATTCTTTTTTATAACTGAATAATATACCATTGTATGTATGTTCCACCTCTTCTTTATCCATTCATCCACTTAGGTTCCGTCCAGATCTTGACTCTTGTAAATAATACTGCGGCGCATGTAGCGATGCATGTATCTTTTCAAATTAGTGTTATGGATTTCTTTGGATAAATATAAATACCCAGAAGTGGAATTACTGGGTCATCTGGTAGTTCTATGTTTATTTTTTGAGGAACCTTCAGACTTTTTCATAATTGCTCTCTGTTCTTTGAGTTTGCTTCTGCTTTGTTTGTTCATTTATTTTGCTTTCGAGATTCCAAATATAAGTGAAATCATATAATATTTGCCTTTCTTTGTCTGACTTATTTCACTTAACATAATACCCTCTAGTTCCAGCCGTGTTGTTGCAAATGGCAAGATTTCATTCTTTTTTATAACTGAATAATATACCATTGTATGTATGTTCCACCTCTTCTTTATCCATTCATCCACTTAGGTTCCGTCCAGATCTTGACTCTTGTAAATAATACTGCGGCGCATGTAGCGATGCATGTATCTTTTCAAATTAGTGTTATGGATTTCTTTGGATAAATATAAATACCCAGAAGTGGACTGAGCTGCTTACTCCCCCCACCTTTCCACCCATCCCCCCCAATCTCCCTCCCATCTGGCAACCATCAGTTTGAGGAACCTTCAGACTTTTTCATAATGGCTGCATCAATTTCCAATCCCATTAATGGTGCCCGAAGGTTCCTTTTTCTCCACATCCTCACCGACACTTGTTATTTGTTGATTTATTGATGATAGCCTTTGCGACATGTGTGAGGTGAGATATCATTGTGGTTTTAATGTGCATTTCCCTGATGATTAGTGATGTTGAACATCTTTTCAGATGTCTATGGGCCATCCGTATGGCCTCTTTGGAGGACATGTCTATTCAGGTCCTCTGCCCATTTTTAAATTGGATCGTTTGTTCTTCTGATGTTGAAGTGTATGAGTTCTTTATTCTTATATATTTTGGATATCAATCCCTTATTGGGTGTATTGTTTGCAAATAACTTCTCCCATTCGATAGGTTGCCTTTTTGTTTTGTTGATGGTTTTCTTTGTGGTAAAAATTTTTTAGTTTAATGTAGCCCATTTCTTTATTTTGTTTTTGTTGTATTTGCCGTAGAGACATATCCAAGAAAATATTGCTAAGAGCAAAGTCAAAGAGTTTTTTGCCTATTTTTTCCTATAGGAGTTTTATGGTTTCAGGTCTTACATTTAAGTCTGTAATCCATTTTGAGTTTACTTTTGTGTGTGGTGTACAGAAGTAATCTAGTTTCGTATTCTTTTTGCATGCATCTTCCCAGTTTTCCCAACAACATTTTTGGAGAGACTATCTTTACCCCATTGTATATTTTTGCCTCCATTGTCATATAGGTGTGGATTTATTTCTGGGCTCCCTATTCTGTTCCATTGATCTATGTTATCTGTTTTCATGCCAGTACCATGCTGTTTAGATAACTATAGCCTTATAGTATAGTTTGATATCAGGTAGCGTGATACGTCCAGCTTTGCTCTTCTTTCTCAATATTGTTTTGTCTATCAGGGTATTTGTGGTTTCATATACATTTTAGGATTATTCTAATTCTCTTAAAAGTGCCATTGGTATTTTGATAGGGATTGCATTGAATCTGTATATTGTTTTGGGGAGTATGGACATTTTAATGATGTTAAATCTTTCTATTCATAAGCGTATCTTCCATTTATTTATGTCTTCTCCCATTATTTTCTTCAATGTCTTTTAGTTTTCTGAGTACAAGTCTTTTGTTTCTTTGGTTAAATTTATTCGTAGGTATTTTATTCTTTTTGATGCAATTGTAAATGAGATTGTTTTCTTAATTTCTCTTTTCGATTGTTCATTAGTGTATAAAAATGCAAACAATCTCTGAATGTTAATTTTGTAACGTGCTACTTTACTGAATTCATTTATTAGTTCTAATAGTTTTTTTGGTGGAATCTTTAGGGTTTTCTATATATAGTCCCATGTCATCTGCAAGTAATGACAGTTTTACTTCTTCCTTTCCTGTTTGGATGCCTATTATTTCTTTTTCTTTTTGATTGCTGTGGCTGGGACTTCCAATAGTATGTGAATAAAAGTAGTGAAAGTGGACATTCTTGTCTCGTTCCTGATCTTAAAGAAAAAGCTTTCAACTTTTTCACCATTGAGTATGATGTTAACTGCGGGTTTATCATATATGGCCTTTATTATGTTGAGGTACGTTCCCCTCAACCCCACTTTTCTGAGAAGAGATTTTATCATAAATGGATGCTGGATTTTGTCAAATGTTTTTTCTTCATCTATTGATATGACCATATGATTTTTATCCTTCATTTTGTTTATGTGGTGTGTCATATTAATTGATTTGCAGATATTGAACCAACCTTGCATCCTGGGAATAAATCTCACTTGATTGTGGTGTATAATCTCTTTAATGTATTGCTGAACTCGGTTTGCTCATATTCTGTTGACGATTTTTGCATCTGTTCATCAGGGATATTGGCCTATACTTTTCTTTTTCTGGTAGCATCTGTCTGGTTTTGGTATCAAGATAATGCTGGCCTTGTAAAATGAGTTTAGAGCCTTTCTTATTCAATATCTTAGGATAGTTTGAGAAGGCTAGGTATTCATTCTTCCTTCAAAGTTTGGTAAAATTCACTTGTGAAGCCATGTAGTCTAGGACTTTTGCTCGTTGGGAATTTTCTGATTACTACTTCAATTTTGTTAGCAGTTCTTGGTCTGTTCAGATTTTCTGTTTCTTCCTGATTCATTCCTGGAAGTTAGTATGTTTCTAGGAATTTGTCCATTTCTTCCAAGTTGTCCAATTTGTGGGCATATAATTGCTCATAGTATTTTCTCATAATCCTTTGTCTTTGGTATCGGTTGTCACTTCTCTTTCATTTCCGATTTTATTTATTTGGGCCCTCTTTTTTTCTTGGCGTATGGCTAAAGGTTTATCTTTTTGTTTATCTTTCAGAGAGCCAGATCTTGGTGTCATTGATCTTTCCTATTGTTTTTTAAGGCTCTATTTTATTTCCACTCTGATCTCTATTATTTCCTTCCTTCTACTTACTTTGGATTTGTTCTTTTTCCAGTCTTTTAGATGTAAGTTTAGTGTTTATGTGATTTTTTTTTGTTTCTTGAGGTAGGCCCGTATTGCTTTGAATTTCCCCCTTATAACTGCTTTGGCCATTTCCAGTGGATTTGGGGTTGCTGTGTTTTCATTCGTCTCAGGTATCTTTTGATTTTCTCCTTGATCTCTTTGTTAACCTACTTATTGTTTAGTAGTATGTAATTTTGCCAAGATATGTTCGTGTGTTTTTCAGTTTTCTTCTTGTAACTGATTTCTGTGATCAGAGAAGATGTTTGATATGATTTCAGTCTTAAATTTATCGAGACTTCTTTTGTGGCGCAACTTGTGGTCTATTCTGGAAAATGTTCCATATGCACTTGAAAATATACATTCTGCTGCTTTTAGGTGAAATGTCCTAAAAATATCAATTGATCCGTCTGGTCTAATGTGTCATTTAAAGCCACTGTTTCGTTGTTAATTTTCTGTGTTGATGATATATTTAAGTCGATGAGGTATAAAATCCCCTATTATTACTGTGTTCCTTTCTATCTGTCTCTTTATGCCCGTCAATATTTGCTTTATATATTTAGGTGTTCCTATGTTGCGTGTATAAATGTTAATAAGAGTTAAATCGTCTTGTTGGATTGATCCCTTTATCATTATGAAAAGCCCTTTTTTGTCTCTTTTTACAGCCCTTGTTTTAAAGGCTATTTTGTCTGATATAAGTATTGGCACCCCAGGTTTTTTGTTCATTTCTATTTGCTTGAAATATCTTTTTCTATCTTTTTACTTTCAGTCTGTGTGTCTTTCAATTTGAAGTAGGTCCCTTGTTGACAGCATATGTACGGGTTTTATTTTTTTATCATTCATCCACCTGGTGTCTTTTGATTGGAGCATTTAGTCCTTTACATTTAAAATAATTGTTGATAGGTATGTAGTTATTTCCATTTTATTAATTGTTTTCTGGTTGTTTTCATAGTTCTCTGTTTCTTGTTCTTTTGCTCTCTTGTATGTTAATGATTTTCTATGGTGTTATGTTTAGATTCCTTTGTTTATTTCTAGTATATCTCTTAATAGATTTTTGTTCATGTGGTTCATATAAACCAAGCTATGTTAATAGCAGTCTTTTAAGTTGACGATCACTTAAGTTCGAACACATTGTAAAATCACTACAGCTTTTATTCCACATTTATATTTTTGTATTTCTTACTTTTTTTATATATGCGTATCCCTTTATTTTTATAATTACACATGATCTCTTTACTTTTATCTTTGAACCTATGTACTAGCTTTATAATTGGTTGATCCACTGCTTTTACTAAGTGCCTTTGTGAGTGAGGTGTTTTTTCTTACTTATATTTTCTCATTTTTACTTTCGTTCTTTTCTACTAAAAGAGTCCTTTTAGCATTTCTTGCAATACTGGTTTAACAGTGATGAACTCCTTTAAGTTTTTCTTGTCTGGGAAACACTTTATCTCTCATTTGCTTCTAAATGATAGCTTTGTTGGGCAGAGTAATCTTGGTTGTAGGTTTGTGCCTTTCATCTCTTTGAATATTATGTGCATTCCCTTCTGGCCTGCAAATTTTCCTTTGAAAAAATATCTAATGGATTTATAGGAGCTCCTTTTACATGACTAACTGTTTCTCTCTTGCTGTTTTTAAGATTCTCTCTTTGTCTTTAACTTGGCATTTTAATTATGATGTGTCTTGGTGTGAGCTTCTTTGGGTTCATTTTGTTTGGAGCTCTCTGTGCTTCCTGGAGTTGTAGTACAGTTTCCTTCTCTAGGTTGAGGAAGTTTTCGGTCATTATTTCTTCAAATAGGTTTTCAATCCCTTGCTCTCCTCCTTCTGGTATTCCTTTGATGAGAATCTTGGTACACTTGATATAGTCCAAG